CTCCCCCTCTTCTGTCTCTTTCCCTTCCAAGAGCTCTTGTTGCCTCTGAGCATATGCCTCGTCGTCTGAAAAGTCCTCCTCCTCTTGCACCACCCGTGCCGTGCCCCCCGCGCCCGGCAAAAAAATCGGAGGCACACCTCTTAACACACCCAGCTCCTCTTCGTCTTCGTCTCCCACCAGCTCCTCCTCCTCCGTTTTCTTAGCGTCCTTTTCTGCATTCTCGACACCAACAACCTCATCTTCCTTCACATTCCCCTCTTTTTCTTCTCCTTCCTCTCTCCCTTCCTCTTTGGGCCCCTTTTGTACCCCCTCCACCAGGACTTCTCCTAACCGCTCCCTCAAGTCCTCCTCCTGTCCTTCCAAGTAGTCTCTCACCCTCACCGTTCCCCCTGCCTGGCCTGCCAACGCCACCAGACAAGCCACCCACTCCCTCGCCCCTTTCCTCCCCCCCTTCCTCCTTCGTCGCCCTCCCACACCAGCGTCCAAGGCCCGGATCCCTTTCAAGAGCTCCACCAGTTCCACGTCCCCCCCATTGATCCAACGGCGGACGACAAGGGAAAGCTCAGGGTCCAATTTCCGAGGAAATCGGCTTTCTCCTTCTAGAAGGTACCCAAGCCCCCAGCGACAGTGACCCAGCGCTTCATACTCACACTTGGCATCGATGGCTGCCGGGCGTTGCAGAAGCAACTGCGCGAGTTCTGGGTTCTGTTGGGGAAGACCCTGAGCACGGAGGAGGGAACAAAGGGCATTTCTGTCCAATTTGTGCTCAAAAAAGGAAGGGGCTGACGAAGAGGAAGAAGGAGATGGATTTCGAAACAACAGGGTGTACACAGCCTTCTCGCGCGTGTAACGGACAGAGGCAACCCGCCCGGCAAACGCTCCCACGCCTGGAAAATGCTTCACGACTCGAAGACGTAGGAAAGGGTCCACGTCTTTGGGCATCCGCTCCCGAATGCAATCCTCGCAGAACCAATATTCTTTCTCCTTCCCTTGTTCGGACACGTTGCGGTTGGGATGCAAGACAGGCATTTTCACGCAGTCCGGATGGAAGGACGCGTCGCACCGGTTGCACTGCTGAGGGGACACCTGCCGCCATTCCTTGATCCCGCCCACCAACGTAACTTCCACAGACTGCGGGTACGGGTCTCGACAAACCTTGCAAGTGGTGTCCAACCCCAGTTCCTCCAGGGGGGGGGCATCCACGTCCAGGACCCACTGCAAAAGAAGCCGGTCAAAACGAGCCACCAACCGATCCGCATCGTGCAGAATCACGTCGTTTTCGGGATTGAAGAGGGCACAATTGATGAATACCCGCCGAACGTCCGCGGCGAATCGCCCCACCGAGTCATCGTATTGCCCATTTCGCAAGTTCCGTGTCACATCCATCAGACCCAACGGACGCGCTACCACCTCCCCGTAACCCTCCACGTGCGGTTGATACTTAAACAAGCTTCCTCCTTTAGCCTGCATCAGAGCTTGTAGGATAGCGTAGCATCGTCGGATGATCTCGGCTTTGGCCTCAAAATCCTCGGGCGTTATGTCCCTGTAGGCATCGATGTCCTCCTCGTCCTCCTCCTCTTCCTCCTCCTCCTCGTCTTCTTCGTCTTCCTCTTCCTCTTCCTCTCCACCTTTCGTCAATATCCCCATACCATCCTCTTCCTCTTTTCCTTCCACGGTCTCACATTCTTCCCTTTCTGCCCCGAGCCCTAACGAAGACCGCCGGCGTTTCCTTTTCTCTTTCTTCCCTCCCCTGCTTCCTCCCTCTTTTTCCGCCGAGGACCTTCGGGACTCGCTGTCCAAAGAATCAGTCTCAAAACTCGCGGTGGAACACGCCAGAGAGACGCCATTATTCCCCCCCCCTTCTGTACCTCCCAGGGAGGGCGAGGCAGGGAGGGACGGCACGGTGGACGACGCAAGTTGCGGGAGTCCGTCGCCTGTGGTCGATGTCACGGAGGGGGCACTCATAGACGCGATCGATTCGCTAGTCATAGCCCTGTTCAAAGAAGAGGGAATTGCAGGGGTGCCAGATACCTTCTGCAATTCTTCTCCATCCTGCTTGATTTCCCCTTCTCCTGCTCCGCCACCCACGCCTGATCTACTGTCTCCTACTCTTATCTTTCCTCCCGCTCCCTCCACGCTGGAGGGTGACTGCCAGTGCTCCTGCATGTCCTTTTCCGCCTCCTCCTCTTCTTCCTCCTCCTGCTGCGGTGCTTGCGGCGGCCGTTGCTCTCCTCCCCGCTGCATGGAACCAGCGATGGGGTCGGTCTCCAACTCTTTCCAGATACCGCCCTCGCCCAAATTACTTTGGTACATATCCAACGCGGTCATGGCCTTCTCCACCGCTTGCTTGATCGCCTCCAGCCACCCTTTCTTGTTTTGATTCTCTCCTTCCTCCCGAAACGGGGCTAGGATCCTGGAGGCCTCCTGTACGGCCGTTAACACCCCCACCCCCACCTCTCCTTCCCTCCTTTCCACCGCCGAAAGCGCCCGCCCCACATGTTCGTCCACCCAGGGTCCCCATCGTCCTTCGTCCTTCGTGCCCTGTCCCGGAAGACACCGAAGGCTTTCCAAGGCGACTTGCCAGCCAGAAAGCAGACACCGCAAGGGATTCGGGGTCGGAATACAGAGCGTAAAGGCCGTCCGCGACCAAACAGGGAGACCTCCCCCTCCTCCCCGTCCTCCCCCCGTCCCTCGGTGTCTCATCAGTACCCGCAAACGTCCCATGGTCAACGCTTTCTTATCCCAGGCATCCATTTGGAAATCTACACCGCGACCACGCAATGCATATGCCAAATCCACCGGTAACTGCATGACACGGTAGGCTTGCGCCATAAAGGCCCACCGGGCCAACTCCGGCCATGTCATTTCGTTCAACGGCAGCGTCGGATCTGGGTCGATGCCTGCCCCGCTCCCTGCCCCGCTTCCTCCCTGGCTAGGAGAGGAATACATCAAGGTCTGCACGATGTCGGGGAGGAGAACGCCGGTGAGGCGTTGTGCCACTTCGGAAAGGACGCGCATCCGTCGTTCTTCCCGGGGCGTGGGATGACGGTCTTTGCAGGCTTCTGCGGCATCCAAGGCTTTCAAGAAGAGGGAGAGGGAGGGCCACTCTGACATCCCCATCTTCCCCGCGAGCGTGTAGCCCACATCCCAGACTTGGAGGACGTCCGCCATGGTCCGAGAGGAAAGGAGGTTGTTGGCGGACGAAAAGCGCGAATTCGAGGAGGGTGTAGACGATGGGGGCAGGGGCAACGCTTTCTCCGTCTCTTCCAAGTGCGCGTCGTCTATCAAGGATTCATGAGCAAGCTGAGGCACGGCCACCATACCCGCCGGAGCGTCGGCCCCAACTTGGACCAACTGTCGTGCTGCCGCCCGGCGGCGTTGAATGTCGTTGTCCATCCGGATTCGCAAACGTTTCAGCTCCCGCTCCAGCTCCTTGATCCGTTCCTTCCGACGCTTCCTCTCCACTTGACGCATCCGCTTCTCCCAACGCTGCTCCTCCTTGCTGCGTTTCTTCTCCTCTTTCTCCATGAGTTTGTTCTGCCGCCTCTCCTCCTCCCGCTGCCGGACTTCTTCGCAACGGAGGCGGATCAGCTCCTCCCGCTCCATCTCCCTCGCCGCTTTCAACGTCGCGTCTTCCTCTGCGCTTCTCACCGCTCCGTCCCCTCCCTCCCCCTCCATTTTGACTTTACCCCTTCCTCCCCAGTTTACCCCCCCC